CGGGGGAAGTTGGGAGCCGGCGGAGCTGTAAGAACGACCTCCTTTTCGCCGGACTTCATGACTACACTATAAGTCGCCGGAGGCTCAGATTTCGCTATACAGGTTAATCGGATCGAAACTTTGTGAACATGAAATGGCTTTACTAGGCGCACCATCGTTCGTCGACATTGTAGATTGAATGGTCAGGAGCGTTAAGTTTGTGCAGAGACTGTAGAAAGCGGAAATGCTGGTGTCTGAGTTGATGGTGCGTACATAGGCAGCTTTATAGATTGTCCGTGAGAGCCTCCTCCCTAAACGATCTGTGCAGAATGAATGGGAAATAAAAAGTCGGTCCATGCATTACGACAAGCTGAACACGAGGAACCAAAGCTCCAGTTGAGTTTGAAAGCCGCAGAAAACAGGCCTTTGCACAGACTCGTGAGCACCACGGGAATAGAGTACAGCTCGCCTTTTGCATAATACATGGCAACGCGTTGAACTCACGAGGATATTTTGGATAGGCAAAGATTACATAAGCCATTACGCGAACACTCGTCACTGCGGACGCAGGTTCTGTTCGGCTTCATGCACATAGCTGTCGTTGTGATTAGAGATACAATATACAGGAAACGGGTGAAGAACTACTTACGCGAACATATTTTGACACCGCACATGCACCAGCTTCAGGGAACTTGCTATTCATTGGAGACTTTGCGCAGTCTCATCAGGTCCCTTTGCGTCGTGGTAGCTATAGCTCCGACTGGGAAGTGACAAACGAAGTATTCGTGCACAAAGTGTCAGGTAACAGACAAAGCAATGAGGATCATGGAAGCAACGAATGTGTCGAGGAATTTGTATAACATGTTGAACTGCTGACCCTTTTTGCAAAATCTGTCAATGTAGAAGCCACCGTTGTATTTGGTCACGGTCCTACACAGAGGCTTGGCTGCTGAGTTGGTCTATAAAGAATGGATGCAGGAACTGAATCGGAGTATGATGAATACCCCAGATACCTCTACTAGCGTCAGGGACGCACACGAGCACTCAATGAGACCTGTTCTGGTGACCCACTTGGTCATATGGGTGGTTTTTGCTGTTGCTGTGGATAATCAAGCCTTGGCTACTGGACAATCTCATATTTTCCGAATGGGCAGCATGCATAGATCAGACGGTGATTTGCCTAGCGCCAACGGGCTCGTCATATTCGTCGGCACGACCAGAAAAACGCATCTCACAACAAAGAATTGTCCATTTCTGAAACATTGATTTTGCAAAGGAGAAAAGGAGTATGGCATTGGAAAGGCATCTTTCCGATGCTTTTCCTTGCTTTTCCATC